GTATATAAGGACCATACCAGAATATGATAAAGGCTATTCATGACAATACTCGACTTCAAGCTGTGCTACAAAGCAACAGTGATAAAAACAGCATGATACTAGAAGAAAAATAGATACATGGATCAATGGAATAGAACTGAGGATAGAGAAATCTCCCTTGCCACATTCAACTATATTCTTTTACAGTGGGGCAGGAGTACATGTTGGAGGAAAGACAGCCTATTCAACAAATGGTACTGGGAAAACTGGTTGATTATTTACAGAAGATTGAAACTAGATGCATATCTTTCACATATACTAAGTTAAAATCAAAATGGATGAAAGATCTAAATATTAAAACAGAAACATTAAACCTACTGGAAGATAAAACAGATTAAAAATTTGAAGACATAGGTGTAGGAAAGGATTTTCTAAACAGAACCTCAATCACCCGAGAAATAGCAAGAATTGACCAAAGGGATTGTATCAGACTTAAAAGCTTTTGTGCAGTGAAAGAATCAGTAGAGTGAAGAGACAGCCTACAGAATGGGAAACATTTCTCCAGCTACTCCTCAGATAGAGGACTAATGTCTAGAATACACAAAGAACTAAAATATTTAAACACCTAAAATTAAAGATCCAGCCAACAAATGGGGAAGAGAAACGAATAGACACTTCACAGAGGAAGGAATACAAATAGCCAAAAAATATATGAAAACTTTTAACACCAATTCACAAGAAACAATTAGTAACAAACTTGGAATATAAAGGAGTTTCCTCAACATAACTAAGGTGTGTAAACACCTACATGATGCATTGACTTAAGTAACTTTTTAGTAACACTGTTTTTAATGTTAGGAGTAAGAAAGAACGCCCATCACTCTGTTTTTATTTAATATTGTGCTGAACCCCCACCCCAAGAAATAGATCAAGGAAGAAAAAATAGATATAAGGACTGGAAAAGAAGAAATAACATTATTACTTCCTCATAATAAAATTGTAAAAATTGAAATTCCAAGAAAATCTATACATTGTAAGAACTAATAATTAGATTTCGGTAAAGTAGCATGCAAGATTATATTAAACAGTAGCGACTGCTTTTACATACCAGAAACAACAATTTAGAATAAGATAATTTTTATTTATTTTATTTTATTTTTTATTTTTTGGGGGGTAGTAGGAATTGAACTTGAGACTTTGCTCTTGCAAGACAGGCAGAGGAACCACTGAGCTAAATCCCTGGCCCAAGGTAATTTTTAAAAGACGCCATTTATAATAGAAACAAAAAAATTACATGGTGCCTAGCAATGAATCTAGTAAAACAAATATGAAAGTTTATGAAGAATAATGTAAAGGTTTATTGAAGATTAGTGTGAATAAAATGACAGCTCATGTTCATGATTAGGAAAGACACAATGTTTTAAGGATATAACTTCTCTTGGAATTAATACATAAACTTAATTCATAATATAGTGATCAATACAAGTTTTTGAGAAATTTGATAGGCCCATCACAAAATTGATGTGACAGCTTTGCTAGAATAATTTTGAGTAAGGGTATGGTGTTGTTGGAAATAACTTACCAGATAGGTGGACTTTGAATATGATAAGACGATAAATCAATGGAGTGCTAGCTAGCACAGGGATAGATAAACAGACAAGTATACCAGAGTAGAAGCTCAGATTAAGATTTGGACACATGTAGATATCCAGAAGATTACAAAGATGCCATAAAAACCAAGCAGGTAAAGGGTGAGTTATTCAGATATAAGATAGATTGATCAGAAAAATAAAAATTAAAATAACAACAATGTATAACTTTATACTCATAAACTTGGCAAATAGGAAAACCTTTTACAACACTAGGCATGACAAAGATGGGGAAGCTCCTACATTGATGTGAGGGCTGTAAATTTTTCAACTACTTTAGAGAGAGAGAGAGAGAGAGAGAGCAATGTTTTAATGTTTAAGAAATGCTAAAATATGTTTTTTATGTCACCCAACAATTCTGCCTCTTAGGTTTATATGCTGGAGAAACCTTACAAAATGAAACTGGCAGGGCTGGGAGTTTGCCTCAGTGGTTCTGCCACCTACCTTGCAAGAGCAAGGTCCCGAGTTCGATTCCCGGTACCAAAATGAAACTGGCATAGGAATGTCTAGTGTAAAGTTACTTAAAATAGTGGAAATAAGGAGCTTATCTGTAGGGAGATTAATTAAAAAATTCATATATGTATCCGCTTACAACAGATAGAACCAATAAGCTGGAATATAATCACATATGCTAGTACTGAAATAAAATTCATAAACACCAAAGTAATTATATATATTACTTATGAATACAAGGTACTGTACCAAGACTTGTCATGTAAAGGAACAAGATCCCAATGATGAATGTAACTGTACTGTATACGTAAAATGTACCAATAAACTCAATGAAGAAAAAAAAATCCAGGAAGATTTAGGGCAATTGTGGGCCTCACTAAAGAGAGGGCTAGAGAATTGTTATAGGATGCAAATTACAGTACCTGTGATGTTTCATTTGTTTAAAAGTGCTGGAACTGATAAGTCAAAATATCATTTATCAAATTTGATATTTGTAATTATGTTTTGCTTTGTTTTCCTATGTGATTTTTAAGTATTTATGCAAGAAACAAAAGATCACAAAAAGATCAAGTCATAGGTGGAGGTTGAATAAAAATGTAAAGTAATTCTGGGTAGGGAGAAACGAGTAAAAGAAAATGTCAGTCTTTGGCAATCTGATTTATGGCTTCATTTTTATTTGAGAAGATTTTATCTCAGATTTGGAAATTCTCCTTTTGATTTTTCTTGTTTGTTTCTAGAAGATCCAGAGAAGTCTGGGCATCCCCAGAGTGCATTTCCAGGGCTCTGGTCTGGCAAGTGAATAAAGCCTGCAGCAACATGAGGACAATAGAGAGAGAAAACGCAGAACTTAGCCGGGTTAGAAGGAAGATTCAGTTTTGATGTACCATTAATAGGAAGAGGAAATCAGAAGGGATTGAAATTTGAGCACAAATATTTGTGTCTCAAAAAAAATACCATGGATGAGTGTCCTAAAATGTATTTTATCATGTGCCTGCATATTTCTAAGGAGGGTTAGAATGCCATTTTCCCCTTTCCTTAAAAATATGTTCTAATTATGTTTGTTGAAGCAAAGAAAAGAAGCTTGTCTCAAGTTTCAGTTTTAAGCACGGGCACACACACACACACACACACACACACACACACGCGCGCGCACGCCATTTTTCAGGAAATATTTTATTAAGACACCTTAAGGTAAAGCATTGTTGCCCTTGCAAAAGAATTTGCTCTGAAAAGTGATTGAAAAATGTATTATAAAGTTGCATAGTAAAACAACCATATCAATATCGACCATGTAAAGTAAAACTATTGATAAATGACATTTAAATTTACCTTGTAAATTTTACTAATTTTCCAAGTAACAAATGTGTCACTTTAAAACTGTAACTTTGGCATTTACAAATACCTTTAAACACTTTTATAAATATAGTGATGAGAATTCCTGAGTCACTCTTTTTCATACCAGTGTTTGTTGTCCAGCATGCAAGTGCTTTATTTCACTGACATCCCCTAAACTTTTCTTTAAAAAATAATTTACTGCAACTATAAAAAACATCTGTGCTTCAAGTCAGTTTGAAGGATATGTTTTAATGTGAACCTCATTATAACAAAAGAAGACACTTAACATTTGCATGAGCTGGTGGACCTGTGGAGTGGGTGGAGGGGGTTATAGATAAAAGAATTCCAATTTTACATGTTAGGACTTCTCAAGTGAACTATATTTATAACATCAACAATAGTTTTGATTTTGATTTTGCTTGCACAGTTTAAGAGGACTCTTGAAGCTGGTAGAAAATTTTCCCCCCATATCCAGGAAGTTCTCTGTTGAGGGCTTTTCAATGACTATATTTCTTTTCTTTTCTTCTTTTTTTTTTTTTTTTTTGGTACCTGGGATCGAACCCAGGTCCTTGTGCTTGTGAGGCAGGCAGTAGAACCACTGAGCTAAATCCCAGGTTCTCAATGACTGTATTTCTTATACTTCTCCAAGTCCCCATCCTTCTCCATACCATACTGGGAAATTGTATCTCCCAGCCCTTAAAAATGAGGTAGATCAAGAATGTATAAAGTTTGGTTAGTAAGATGAAGTAGCAGTCTTGATTACATTAAGGTTTCAGATGGGATTCTGACAAGATGCAGCAACACAGAATTTCTGGTTTCCTTCAAGAAAGCCTGCGCAGTTCTTTTTGAAAGTGATGTGTAATTTACACAGTTCATCACTAACTGTGCAGACCCTTTGACTGGAGACTGATACTTCAAATTTTGCAACTTGAAAATATAAATAGACCCAAAAGTTAAAGTTTACAATAGAAGAGAGCTAGTGTTTCTTTGCCTGAAGCCAAGTTTGAGAGTACGACACTCATATGAAAAAGAAATTCATTCCTCCTTAGAAGGTGGCAGTGAATAGTTTGCAATTTTGCAGTTTTGTGACGCTAGCAGGAACAGTAGATGATTTTAAGATCTAGATTTGTTAGAAGTGTGCTATTTGCTTACACTTCATCTGACAGAATTTGTCAGACAAGAAGTTAATAATATATTGATGAATTTTCAAGGGGATTCTGTTTATTTTTTGATGGGTTGGTGATTCCTTTATTTCACAATATTTAAACAAGCTTCTCTTATTTGATCCAAATATACATGGTTCCATTTCACTTTATTTTTTATCAGACAAGAATGAAGTAAAGGAGGGAAATTTTGCCTTGTAATCATATAGCAGGGTAAATAAGGAAAGATGTTTTGGTTGAACTTATAGGAACAATTTCCTGATTATAGATCTTTTCGCAACAAAAAAATTTCAAAAAAATAATATTGGCTACACGTGTTATTCTACTCTTCCTTCATTTTAAATAAAACAAAAATAGACAAAAGATAGGCAAGGGAAATAAACATTTATTGAGCCAAGCACTGAATTGGTATTTTGAATAATTACATAAATAGAAATATAACAATCATATTACACTGGGATGTCCAAGATTTTGTTTGGCAAGCATTGTTTTTGGCATGCAGTAAAAATGAAGATGTGAGAATAGCAGTTAGCATAATCTCTCATTCTTTTGACAAAGATTTAACTGTCCATACTGTCCCTGTAAAATAGAAGGATGCAAATGAAAAAGTCCTTGGAAAACAGGAAGCACAATGTGCAATAATCAAAAGTTTACAAAATTAAAAATGCAAGATAACAAATCAGATGAGTGTAATTCTTTAAGGCTAAAAAGAAAAAAAACAGATGTATAACAGTAACATAGAAATGAACTTTAAAAATTGAATTGAAATTATTTCTTATAAATGGCTGATGTTTCCCATACCATAGTGTACTTGATGGCTGAAGTCAAATAAAGAAAAGGTTTATTTTTAAGGGATATAGGGAAATTTCGTTGTATTCCCAACTATAGATCTATTAGCAGCAAACACTCTTCATGAAAAATTGTTTCAAAGACACACATGTAAATTTGCTCTTCTTGATTTCAAGTAAGAAAAAAATAGAGGAAAGGTAATCAAGGGATGTAAACATTTACTGAGCTAGGCACTGAGCTGGGTATATTCAATAATCACATTGATTATCATGGCTTTGGGAAACCACCCTGAAGTGACTTACAAGAAATAAACCTGTACTCTGTAATTTTTAAAAAATCTGATGATGATATATGCATTCTGAACTTTACTCATCAGCCAGTTTTTCTAAATGAAATATAACAATGTAAAAAAATGGTGACTCAGAAAACAGCAAAAAGCTGCAAAGTGTTGAATTAGAAGGCGTACTCCATAAAAACACATTGTAACAATCACTTCTGATTTCCCACTTAATGTCAAGGAATTTTGCTTGGCATTTTCTAGGGAAAAAGGAAAAGCAGAGGTAGTGGTAGCTTTGAAAATATGGAACCTTGCACTATGGCAGAGACTTCACTTCAATATGGCTTTGCAGGACCATCACTCCATGGGCGGAGTCTAGACTGCTTTGGTTTCCACATGAGACTCTTAAATTGTTTCGATGAATGAAGTGCAAAAGCCAGCCTATAATGCAAATAACACACATGAACACTCAGTAGTGTCACGAAGCAAAATGCGGGAAATGACATTTAAGCGGTTGTTGGATTGTACTTTAAACACATAGAGCCCATGTCAGCTGTACAACTGCATACACTGCTTCTAGACAGAGTACAGAAAAAAATTAGTACATTCACAGTTTCAACAAATATATTATTATATATTTTTAGTTTTGTTTTATAGATGTAGACACGATCATATTGAAATTATAGATGGATAAATTGTGTCATTAAATGATTTTCATTTTATTACATGATGAGTTTCATGAAGATTATATATTTTAATGTGACATATAGTATTTTGGAACACATAAAACAATATAATATAAAGTAATATAATGGTTTCTCTAAAGTTAGTAATGCTATATGACAAATACATACGCCACTGAAAGAGTCAGCGCAGGAGATGTAATACCTTTCTGTAAGCAGTTCTGAAAGAAGGTTATTAGGGCACAGAGGGGAGGTTGTCACTTCAATGTCTTTTTTTTTTCAGGGATTTTATAAAACAATACTTTTCAGAGGTATTTTTCTGAATAATTTTTCAATTTTAGATAATATGAGAAAAAGATCCCCCCTCAAGATGTGCAAAATGTGCACAGAAAAACTCAGTATTTTGAAGTTTATTCAGGTGAAGCATAATTTGACTGTGACTATTAAAAATTATTTCTAATATTACTGCTTTAGTTCCCAAAGATTTTAGTGTTGTTTTCCTTTTTTTAAATAGCAGCAGGTAAAATATTAATTGATTAACACACTAAGATTATCTCAGCGACTCTCTGGTCATTGACCACACCATATAAACAGGTTATATCTTTCCACTGTACACATCTCAATGCTGTTTAAATTGAATTTAGGACAGCAGTCAAAGGAATTGATTTGGGCAGACTAGCCGGCAGCCTTTGGTGTGAATTAAGTATGTCTCACCTGTAAACTCAGAAAATTAATATATTTATAATTTTCCCTAACATGTGGGTTTATTGGCTAGTCTTGGCATTTATGAGCACTCTGAGATGCCCAGAACTTTGGAAACAACTTATTTTCTTCTTCTTTTTTTTTTTTAACTTGAATTGAAATAGATACTACAATGTTTTCATACCAAAAATCACCTTCCTGAAAAACAAAAGTTTGGAAAGAACTCCCATTTGATGTACAGATGATGTGTTTGCTAACCATGGAATACATCTGGCTTGCAATTGTAAATATAGTTTCTAGTTAGATCATAAGCTCTAAAACAACCACTCTATATTTTTGTTTCTCCTTAAGACTCACTGAGATAGCTTAGATTTATTGATGGCCTTTGAATTAGCCACATAACGAATATAGGCTTGAATCTTTGTTCATGCAAACCTCTGAACAGGGTGTACTCATGACCCTCAGCTTGGATATATGCATGGCTGGTTTAACATTGGACCTGTCCTTTTCAGGGCCAAACTCATTATTTATGAACAATTTTGTGTGTTGTAGGTCCTATGGTTGCTACTGTACATATTTAACTGTTAGGAAAAGAGAAGCAGTGCAACCTACAAGGTCTTTGAAGCTAAGAAGGAAAAGGAGAAACAAGGACACTAAATCCACTATACTTTAAATAATGAATCTCAGTTTTTCTCTGACACATTTTTCAGACACACTGACTCACGAATGCACGGGTAGGTCAAGAACATGTCAGCAAAAGACTGCACCTAGGTCTTTCAGCTGAAATTTTTGACTATCTGGATCATGAGAATTAAAGAGAGAGAGAGGGAAGTGTTGGAAATATTTTTGGCCTACTCACTTTTTTAGCAAATGGTGACCAAAATTTAACGAATTTAAGCAAGGTTATATAGCCTGTTTAGTGGTAGTGATGCGATCTAATAAAGATTAGATCTTTAAAATATTGTGCTTGAGTAAAAGGCAAAAAGGAAATTTGTTCACTGAAGTACACACAAGGCTTTATCAATGGCAAATCTATATTAGCAACACTAGGAATACTGATTCAGTCATTCATGTTTTTCCAACTGTGTGTGAAATTTTGAAGTGCACAATTGCCTTTTTCAGGCAGGCACTGGTCTTTCAGTGACATTCAGAAGTGCATCGATGTTTTTAAATGGAGAAGCTGGAATAATAGGGTGGTAGGTTTATCCTCAAATCATAGCCAGACTCAATTGCTTATCTGACAAATTAAGTTATACTATTCACATTAGCTGTATGATAATTCAATTAACAATATACAAAAACCATTAAATATTGTACTAGTTAGCCCTTAGACCATTTCATCATTCCCTTTCTGGCCCCCTTTTTTCCATCTCTCAATTCACGTAAAAGAAATTCATATTAAGTATATTTTACTTTCCACTTACTATAATTTTCTTGCAAAATGAAAACTTACAAAAAAGTAAAGGCACTTTTTAAAAGCATACAAATCAGTTCCTTTCTTGTGCACTCTAAGGGGATAGGGAAATTACTAAAGGCAGGGCCAACTCTTCCTGCATGTGATGGGCAGCAGAGGACAGTTTAAAAAAGAGGAAGCCAATTTCCTCTAGAGATGAACTGCTACCTGGAAATCAGGTGCCTCTGGTTGTTCCTTAATTCTGGATTCACCAATTCAGCTGGGTGATCACAGGACAGGGAGTCAAACTACTCTGATCTTATATAGGCAGTAAGAGATCTATCTTTTCAGATCAAATCAGTTTGAATATTTAGTCCATAACTGACTACCAGGACTGGTCTTAGGCACTTAGGAAAATTTAACATCTACAAAAATCAGTGACATGGCTAAGAGTAACTTGTGCTTACATGAGGGTGCCCTTTGAACATTTGTTCAAACTGGTATGAGAACATTTTGCTATTTGAATCATAAGCTCCCAGAAATCATTCATCGACCAAACCCAGGTTCCATTGGCTTTATAACTTGAATATTTAACTATTTGTTTATAAAAGTATGACTTTTCATAACTCAGAGCATAAGGTTCCTAAACTTCTTAGGTAATGGTTATTTGTAAACTATGATCAATAAGCAGATATAGGAAGAAAGTGTTGAGGCTGCTGGACTAAGTGAGGATTAAATAAGACTTGCTGCCATTAACGATCAGTTAAAGAGTCATTGCCTCTTTTGATGTGTGTCTTTTCTATCTTAGGCCTCTCCTCTTTATGTATTTTCACACAATTTTAGAATACGATTCCATGCCTGTATAGCTTATAAAATGATGTGAAATATATTAAGACAAACTGGAGCTGATGATTTAAAAAGTGAAATATGAAGAAGACAACATCGCTGATGATTACTTTGTATTTCCATAATGAAAAGCAATTATTTTAATTATTTGATAGCTTAATTAAGATACTGGGCATTGGTTAAAATGATCTTTGTAGGAAAATATTCAGTGAGTCATGGAAGCAAAGAGTCAGAGTTTAAAAAGATCTTAGAGACTATTTGGTCCAATGTTTTCATCAAAGAAAAGTGAAATCCAGAGAAGGGAATTAGTCTCTCCAAGATAAAAGGTTTAGGACCAGAATCCAGGTCTTTTGACCCCTGGTATGCATTCCTCTATACAAACAGCTGTCTTCTCAATAGAAAATATTTTAGGCCATAAAAAGAAATCCTAAATAGACAGTGCTAGTTGATCATAGCATAGATAATATTGCAGTCTTGACTTTATTTAATATGAGTGCTAACTGGTGATTTTTGGAGATTTGGTTTGAATCCTTAGCCAGTCAAAATATTCTTCATATATGCAAAATTATGTCAAAAGCAGATTATTTTTGTTTTCAAACTATATGATATATGTACATAGAGATACATTTTCTCATATTCATATAAACAAAATATCATTTTGTGCATCTTAGACCACTAATAGATTTCTTTTTCTTCTTCTTTTTGGCCTTATTCTTACAGACAGGATTGTTTATTGCAAGCTGAACAGACTTAGTCTGTACTTCCCAAGAGATGACTATTTGCATGCACTAAAATAACCTTTCGTGGAAAAGATCAACTAGGACAATGCTTCTCAGATTTCAGTGTGCACATGAGTCATCTAGATCTTAAATGCAGATGCTGATTTTATAGGTTTGGCCTGGACCCTGAGATTCTGCAAACAAAAATTTCGAACAGTGGCCAGATGATACCCATGCAGTTGCTTCTCAGACACTGAGCATTGAGGATGTAGGGGATGGAATTAGTGTGGAAAACTTTCTCAAATGCTTCCTTCACTCACAAGGTCTTATTTTTGAACTGTACTAGGAAAATACAGTTTCAGATCTTTTACTTTTGCACTTCAGAAAGCACAGGCAAAGTATTCACTTTCAATCATCAGGAAACATCCGTGTCCAGGTCCTATCAATATGGAGCTGAATATTTAACTCACAGAGTGGGTTCAAGTTCTCTATGGCTAGCTAGTCAATGAAAACAGAATGGATTTGTCAAGAAGTGAAGTAGAAAATACAAGGAGGCAGTCTGAGCCACAAATAAGTAATGGATGCTCCCATTAAAATGGAGATCCAAGCTTTGACCCCCTCTCAAGGGTCCTACCCTTGGCACTGCCTTGCATATTCTCACAATTCTATCTTGACTTTTGGAGATGTTCCTGTTGTTCTGCAGATGTTTGGTTTCCTGAACTTTTACTTGGACACTTCTAATATGTGTACTGTATCTACCTCTGCCAACATTTTGCAAATAGATTTACTCCAGAGAGATACTAACTCCTGTTTTTTCTTAAAATTCTGATGCCCAAGATTGCTCAGAAAAACAAAACAAAACATAATAAATGTTAGAAATCACACTCTCCTTTTTAAATGGTAGCTTTAGGAAGACCCATCCATTGATGAGCAGAAGCCCTAGAATAGCCTTAAAGTCACAGGAGAAATTATTTTTAGTCTGTGGTGAGTCCTAAAATCCTAAATTGGCTGTAATGGTTGCTGCTTAAAGTACACTGGACATAAAAAGAATCAAAGAATATAGTCCATTGTGTTGTAAACTGAATTTCATTATCTACTTCATATGGGATTTTACTCTGCAAATAGGGACTGCATATGTACTGCAAATATCATTATAACCTTGCAGCAGCAGCAAGTACTGTACCCACTGAATACATAAAAAGTTATACTGGGAAAATAGAAAATAGTCCTTTATTTTGCCTAGACAATAGAAAAATAGTCTTCAAAAATACATTGCTAAACTTACGGGTTTGTATTAAAGTAGAATTTGTATGTACAGTAAGGCAGTATTTCTATTAGCATCCTGCTGTGATTCTTTCAATTTAAAGTTAGTCTTTTGGGAATTTTTTCACTAAGAAAATACTAGGGTATATAATAAATTATCTATCCTTCTGAAATGATGCAGGAAAACATTTTAAAAAGATTCACCACATGAACTTCATTTGCCTCTTACATAAGATACTTTTACTTTCCAAAACTATATTCTCTAGAGACTTTGGAATGGAATAAAATTCAAGGGAGAAACTCATGCCATATTCAAACTATTTTAAGAAAAAATGAGAAGTGTCACTTGCATATTAGCAATGTGTTAGTAAGGTATAGGAACTGATGTAAACAATTCATCAGTTGTTCTGGAATACATTTTCTTTAAATGTGTTTTATTTGGACAATCCTAATAAAGTGAAAGAGTAGTGTAAAAGTTAGGAAATTGTTTTTCAAAAGTGGTTTTCATTTTCTACACATCTGTCATCTTCCTGTGCAAAATCATTTTGATTTTTTCATTCCCTCTGACACATACCAAACCATGAAAGCCTTTCTCAGAGGATATACCTTATTGACACTGTCCCTCAACAATATTAAGCAATGTGCTTTTATTTCATTGAACACATGAGTTTTATAACTAATAGCAAAAAGTAAACCTACAAATCACAGTTAGGAGACAAATGATTTGTTTTGAATATCAGCTGTTGAAGAAAGGCAAGTGTTGAGCATGAAGCATGAAAAGGAGTGAAGTAGTGTTATTCTACCCACATTCTTGAACATTGGCTAAAAGATAGTTTTTCATAACTCTGTAGTGTTACCTGAAGAAAAATCACATTTCTGCCAATCATCCATTTCTCAAGCTATCCACGAAAGGAGCTCATGAAGCTTGCAGGATCCAGGTAACCCAACCCATCCTGTTGGAGTCTGAAGTTGTTTGGTGTCACCGTGAAATAGGCCATGTTTTTCTCAGCTTGATTCTGCTGAAGGGATAGCAGAGCCTCCTTGGCAGATTCTTCAAACAAAGCTATGTTTTGACCTCGTGGGTCTGGCATTAACACTAGGATATTGTTTTCCGTAACTCTGGCTACCTTGGCATATTCTTTAATGATTTCTGGAGCCCTTGGCTTCTCTACCTGCTCAGTGCTATCTTTCTGTTTTGGGGTCAGTGATAGTGCTCCATCTCTGTTGACCTTGTGAATCTCCACATAATCCAGGGGTTTAGCAGAGATAAAGGGGGCATTTTCCTGGGGCAGCACCCATGCTGTGTCTTGCTCAGTCTTAGGAGGGAAGCGTACCACCTCCATCTGCTCCATTGCCCTTTCCTCTCCCCCAGTCTCAGTGGTCTTAGAGGATTGCAAAGCATCTTTGCTTGCTTTGTGTATCACAGTGTCCAGTGCAGCTTTGGGGCCTTTAGCCAGCTTACTTACTTCAGCAATGCTGTGGTAAGGAGACCTGGGGTTGTGCTGAGTTGGCTGTGGCAAGGGCCAGGTTGAAGATCTGAATCCGTTAGCATGGAAGTAAAGGATTTTGTCTTTCGTACTTTTGGCCTGGGAGTCCCAGGTGCAAGTAATATTTGCTTCCAGACTCTCTAGCTTCTTAATGACCTCAGGTGTGTGGAAAGTGGGAGGATTGGCCCAGGGTCCCCCACACTTTTCAGACAAAAAGGAAGGGCTGTCACAGCTTCCATGACCAGAGTCATTGTCAAGATCCAGATGTTGAGATTTCACAGCTTGACCTGGGTATTCTTTTGAAAAAGCTGGCATTAGCTGCTGGTCCTCAGAATCATCCACTTCTAAAAACTCCACCAGCAAGTCCTCAGAGTCAGAAGTGGGGGGAAAGTCTTGGCATCCAAAGGCACCCAGGAGTTCTTCAGTCTTGCCCCTCTATGGAAACACAGACACAAGGAGAGACAGCTGTTAGCTTTATCACATGTCCAGTCTGTGTCACAGCTGAGTGATGTCTGTTCATTACTTGAGCAGGGTGGGTGTGGTAACAGCCTCATAGGACTTCCCAGATGCCAGGTATTTCTGTACTAGGCCATCTATGATCACCTTCTAGGTACTATTCATCAAAGGTTTTTCTTAAGTCAACTTATGAGTTTAACGTAACTTTTCTCTAAGAAATAATGGACATCAGTTTAATGGACAAGTAGTATACACACATACTGTAAACACAAACTATCAAGTTGAAAGAGCTTGGGAGACATCTGAAGCTATCATGCTCACATACATATCTAGCTCTTGTGCACTCACTGGCAGCCTCGTTCTGGATTCAATGCTGGTCTTCTAACCTCGTCTACCACTCGTTAGACTGGTGATAAGTTAATTCTGTCTCTTTTCCTGCTGTTCCTCATCTTTTTCTCCTCCTCTTCCTGTTTCTTCTCTCTTCCCTTGTTTCTCTTCCTGTAGTCTTTCTTTGGACTCCTACTCAGTTTCCTCTCATTTCCCTCCTTCTCTTCCTCTTTTTCCTCCTCCTCCTTCATTCCCTCATTTTGCCTATTTAATATTTTCTTCTCTCCCCTATTCCTCCTCCTCCCCCCTTTCTTCCTCCCCTTACTTGTTTTTCCTGATTCTCTGACTTAGGTAAGGTGCTGATGCCTACACCTTAGCTTTATTACTTATAGGGTGTAGATGACTTTTGACAAGCTACTCTCTGAAGCCTAGCTTCTCCATTAAAAATGGGAATAATACTACCTATTTGGGAGGGATGTTCTGAGGGTTAGTTAATGAAAGGAAGAATGTTACATTTTTAATCCTCAAATTAGCTATATTATTATGTCTGAATGGCTAGGAGGTTGTGACATGAGTTACAATATATTGATGCTGGTTCTGTAAAGGTCAATGTTAGAGTAGATAGTGAGGAAAGTGCACTGGACCAGAAGCCCAAATACCCTGCAATGATCTTTTCCTTTCTTTTCTTTTCTTTCTTTCTTTCTTTCTTTTTTCTTTGAGACATGGTCTCACTATGCAGTTGAGACTGACCTGGAACTCACTATGTATCCCAGGCTGGTCTCAAACTCACAGTGATCCTCCTGCCTCAACCTCCTGAATGTTGGGATTACAGGCATGCACCACCACACCCAGCCGCAATGATCTTTTCAAACAAAGAGAACTGTAGACAAATCAAATTCTCTGGGAGTCACTTTTTATATTCTTAAACTGTCAGCCTCCTAGTAAATAGATCAAGTGGAATTTGTTTTTATATACAGGTATTGATTTTAAGATCAACCTATTAAGGTTAAGGTCAAATTCAAACTATATATTTGAACCTAGAGAGAAACTGAAAATATTCTAATCTCCCCTTTCATTCAAAACAATTTTAACCTTTAATTCTCCTTTGGATCAATATAATGTGTCTTGGCAAAGACCAGCTCCCACTGGACTGCTCTAGTTATAAACAACTGTTGAAAATGAGCAACAGGATCAATAGAATATTCTATTACTATGGTCTTATAAAAAGAATATTAAAGTGATAGCATTTACCAATGTATAGTGGTTGTGGGTTCCTGTTTTATATGAATCGAAATATTCGCCCTATTACTAAATTGATTATTTGTTCCAAGTGGCTCTCTTTGTGCTTATGAGAAGCCCTGGTAAAACTAGCAAGCATTACCATGTATTTATTTATATTTTTTTGTAGCTTTCAGTCCATGCCCTCAAACTATTAGTATCTGATAGTTAGCACCCTCATCTCTCATACTTCTTTCTGTTAACACACATGCTAAGCAGGAGCAATAGCTAGACAAGAATGATCAGCTAAGCTGGCTGACTGGGGATCATGTGGGCATGTGTAAAGTTAATTATTACACAGCAGTGAGTCACACACAGTCTGTCTTTGGCACATACCTCTAGCAGATGAGTATCAAATCCTTTTATTTTTGGACCAGGAACTGGTGGGAAGATGCAGGTCATCATGCTATAAAAAAATTTAGAGGTTAGATAAGTGACTCATCTTTTCACTTTGCAACTTTTAAAAAAATGTCTTTTATCTCCAAATAGTTGCTACATGAAGAGTTCTATGGCTGAGTGAAACAATAAGTGATGAAGATAATAGTTATAGAGACTTACATTAAAATTTGCTCTGGCTAATTCAGGAAGCTGACTTTGAAGCTGGTGTATGATTTAAATTTTTTGCCTTTTTAAATTTTAGTTGCTCTTGCCCAATTTTTACTATTTCACAATTGTGAGTCTTCATTTAATGGAAAGAGTACCTGCTTCAAATGAGCCCATTGTTTTCTACTTTTTAAAATACTCATAAAAGAATTTTTATGGGCAAACAAATTGCAAATTAATGGCTAAAATGAAGTGCTGACTTATCTGTATGTTTCCTTCATCTTCGTATTATTGTTTTTGCCATTATTCTTGACAACTGTGGTTGAGAGAAGGGCTGAGAGATAATGAAGTACCTGTAGCTCTTCAAAGCCACTGCCCAGACCATAATTAAACAAAGGACAGCAAAGAGAATGGCCACAAAGATCCACACGGTTGTATCACTCATTTTGAAATCTAAATAACAAACAGCCAGAAAGCTTTGATCACACACAGTATCATTAAAAACAATCCAATAAGCTTATGCATGAAACTTTTGCACACAAGATTTTTACCCATTGGAAAAAAAAACTATGTATTTAGACTTGAAGAGCAATTCAGGGTAGCATCAGTGACAGGTTTGATTTTTTCCAACATTAATATTTTAATATGTTGTGCATATTTTATAATATTCTGTAAATTTTAAGATCCTTTCACATATTCTTTTATTTGATCTTTAAAGAAGGAATCTATGGTTAGTTGCAGTAGCAATACTAAAAGCCGATGCTTAACAAGTTGTTAGTAAATGCCAAAAATCATGGTAAGCTTTTAAAACACATTTCCTTGTTTTAAAGGTGCAGAAATCTATGAATGGTGATATCACTATCGATTTATAGTCTGGGATTAGAATCCAGGCCTTCTGCTTCTAAACCCTGTGCTTTTATTTAGTATCAGCCAGGGCTGAACCAGATCCATGTCCTGACCCACAGTTAGTTGTTCAGTGCTCTTTCCAGTATGCCAAGCATACTTCTGACACTTCAGTTAAGTTGTAAGAAGAGCTAGACTTTGTAGCGTTGTTCTACGAAGGCTTCTAACTTCACTGAGTTTCAATTTCATTTTAATTCCTCATGGTAATTTACATTTTCTCTGAATACACAAGAGAGTTAGAGGTACCAAATGAGGTAAAGACACTGTAAACTGTAAGGCATTTTAGAAATGCAAGATGACTCATTCCCTTATAGAAGCCACATATTTAAGCAGATCTCTCATATTCTGTGTCTTGGCTAAGAGGTTAATATGAAATTCTTTGCAGAGACTAAATAACAATTTATATCTTTGAGTTGATACTTTGTAAATTCTGAGAGAATTAGATGATGGTCTTGACTAGACCCTCTAAATGGTAGGGATGAGATAGATGGAGAAGACAGAATCCCTAATCCTTAAATCCTCTGAGACACTCAAAGCCCATGCCTACGGACAATTCTAAAAACTGAGCCTCCATGACAGTGACTAAGGAATCCGGGGAGCGATGCAAACCCTTCCAAATATCTGTGTATTTGGTAAAAAGATTATAAACCTATCTCTGCTTATTCTTTGGCTAAGGCTCAAAATAATCTCTCTGTTAGTAGTAATTACATGCAAATTTACCATTTAAAAATGGCAAAGCAAGGACTATAAGCAAAGGTAACCAGGACACTTACCACTAGGAATGTCAATGGAGGTCTCCGGGCTCCACTTACTCCAGAATCCATGATCTGGCTTGCAGCGAACCTGGACAAAGTATTTTTGTCCTGGGTATAAGCTGAGAATCTTAAAATATTTCTGCTGCCCTGAAAAATGTACCTAAGGGGAATAGGGAAAAAGAAATCCCATCTGAATTTTGTCATGACTAATGAAACTTTTCCTCTAAAAAATAATTTATAGGAGGCATTAGGGTGGATAACTACACTTATAGAATATACTATGATTTCATTATTCCATTCTACTCTTTCAGTTCCATCTTTTTCTTGATGTAAAAATTTCCCACAAAAAAAAATTCAACAGGTTTTCTCTTCTTTCAACTGGAAAGACATATGGCTTCTGATAATCTAAACAAGTCTTAGATCTAATATCAGGTCGCAGAAAATACAGTGTCAGAGAAATTAGCTAAATGAACCCATGAAGAGCAAATTAGGCAAATAGAAAGGCGAGTTAATCTGTTGCTCAGGTGGCGTAGCCTTTTGAGTGCATTGAAACTGAAAGGCTATAACAAGTAGAGACTACACGTGTCCTGAATTGGATTATAGTTTGGCAAAAGAGTTGTCAGAGGTGTTTTTTTCAAACACATGGTAAGGGGATAAAATATGGACTGGGTATTTCATATTGTTAAAGCATGTAAATAAATGTTCTCATTTGGGGGTCTTATTATTTTGGCTATGTTTGGAAATGCTTCTTTTTGAAAGGAGACATATCGGAGATAGAATATCATACTGCCTGTGACATACTGTATTATCTTTACATTGAAATATCTTAAAGTATTTATTTACAGAGCCATTGACCATAGATAGATCACACTCTGCTGCCCACCACTTCCGGCCCCAGTGTAATTTATGTGTTTTCATGAGTGTCAAGATCTAAAATATACTTAGGAAGATAGGTGGGAAACAGCGGGGAGAAAGCTGTGTAGTGCAAAGGACTATCTCTGGGAGAGCTGAAGATGAACTGCTTTCAATCTCAATAGAGAAGAAAAGGCCTTTCCACTTCTGGGTGGGTCATGTCTGCATGAGATCAATATAGTTGTCTACTAATTGGATATATGATCTGATCTCAGCTGTGAGCATTCATTTTTGCTAAAGAACATGGTTCCTTCAAAAAGGTTTCTGTTTGACTCACCTCCCACTCAGCTGCATTCTCGGGTCTTAATCGAACTTCATACTGTAGTATGAGCCAGCCAGATGTTATGTCAACTAGGGCAGGTGGGAACCATTTTATCCATAGATATGGTTTTCTGTTTTCTGGCCGCTTTATTTCCAAAGTTATGTTCTGAGGAGGGTTTGGTTCAACTATAAATATAAAAGAAATTCCAGTTGTATTCGTTGCTCACACCTTTTATTTGGCTCTTCCATTTTCTATCATTAATTTCATTTATTATTAGCCCAATCTTTCTATTGCATTGTAAGCTGCTGGAAGACAAAAGTGTGCCTTCCCTCTCATGTTTGCATTTCAAGCTGAGGTTTGTATGGTAAGAGTAACACACAGCTGAGATTTCATTCTTGGCATATTCTTCACTTTCTGCCAGCTATGGTCAGATACAAACCCAAATCATTTGCATGGTGGAAGATTACTGGGAAGAATTTAAAATAGCTGAGTTTCCTCAGGGATTAAGTGGGGGAAGAGTACTGGGAAGGGATTTAAAATAGTTTATACTCTCCTTGATTATTCTCATGATTGCTGTGAACCACCTATTTAAATCTATATCTTTGTAGGTAGAAGTTTACAGATTTCATCTCAGTTCATCAACTACATTTCACATTTAATATACATCTTGCTCTCAATAACCAATATAGTCTATTCTTCCAAATATTATATTATTATAATGTGCCTTGCAGTTGAGCTTTTCAGTGATGATCCCTTTAAGGACCTCTTAACAGCCTCTTGGCCCATTCACTCATTCAACAAATGTTTACTGAATTCCTGTTAGCAAAATGAATTCTTACCACATGCAAAGACTTACAAAAAACACTATCCCTACATCATTAATTTAATCATTCCAACAGCATCATAGCATTCTATTAATGCACCCATTATATAGAGGGGGAAATAGGTTTAGTGAAAGCAAAATAAGTTGCCTAAAATTATACACTGGGTAAAAATAACATTTCAACCCTCCAGAACAATATGATTTAGATGCAGCTGTCCTTGGGAATAACTTGAGGAAAATGAGGTGCAGAGATTGCCAAATTTGGGGCCCAAAAGGCCCAAAGCCTTTTAAAAGATGCTCAGTGCCATAAGTCTTCTAGGAAATCAAAATCAAAATCACAGTTAGCTGCCATCTTATACCCACTAGGAAGGCTAGAATTAAAAAAAGTGAAAAATAACAAGTGTTGGTGAGGACATAGAGAAATTGGAACCCTCACATACATTGCTAATGGAATGTAAACTGGTGTAGTTGCTGTGGGAAACAACTCAAAGTTCCTCTAAAATTTAAACATAGAAATGGCATATTGATCACTGGTTCTCTCTCTTATATTTATATATATATATGCACACTAGGAGTAAATAT